TAGGATGGTAGGGTTTCGGGTTTAGGGTTTAGGGTTTAGGGTTTAGGGTTTAGGGTTTAGGGTTTAGGGTCTCTGGGCAGATGGATAGATCGGTAGAGAAGTGAAAGAAAGATGGGTAGATAGATAGGTCGAACTCGATCTATAGGGCTCTCCAAGCGATTATTACGTATCTGTCATTGTGCTTAGTCCAGGACATTCGTCAGTGCTCCACGTTACCTAAACCCTAAACCCTAAACCCTAAACCTAGACCTTAAACCCTAGACCCTAAACCCTAAACCTAGGCCTTAAACCCTAAACCCTAAACCCTAAACCTAAACCTTAAACCCTAAACCCTAAACCCTAAACCGTCTCGCAGGGCCTCCATGCCTCGAGATGCGGAGACAAGGGATTGCTGAAGCCCTAAGCTCTAATTACTAAACCCTGATCCCTCAGCCTTCAATCCTAAATCCTAAACGCTAAACCCTAAGTTTTAAATCCTAAACCCTAAACCCTAAACCCAAAGCCCTAAACCCTAAACCCTAAACCCTAAACCCTAAACCTTAAAACCCTGTAGCTTCCCAGGTTCCTGGATGACATGCGCGTTCGCATGATTGCTGAAGCCTTTGGCTGATGTCCGCCGCAGTGGGGCTCCTTTGTTTCAGAGTCCCTTCCAGGTTTCAAGGTTCTCCTCTTGGGGCTCAGGGCTGCGGTCTGGGGACTATGGTCGAGGGTTGAGCGCCGAGGTGTTTCCTGAGGGTTTCGGCTGTGGCCGCCATTTTGGTGGCGATTCAGGTTTCAAGCCACGCTATGAGAATTACTGTTAATGGACAAAATTCTGCATGACCCAGATATAGTATAGTACCATAAATCCCATAGTTTAGGTATATAGCGTCATGCAGGATTTTGTCCATCAGCCGTATCACCCCTGCTTTGTAGCCAGAGACTCCAATATCCCTTAATTAAGGAACATACCTTAAATCATATTAAGGATCCTATTATAATTTAGGGAATATTCCTTAATTAAGGAACATTGGAATCTCTGGGTAACATGGCTGGGGTCAAAGAATACATGCAGATCCAAATCTGGCAGCCCGCTGCGAGTGCCAAAACCGAAGCGACTTCAAGTCGTAGTGTAGAGATCTGAGTAGGGTTTGGGGTTTGGGGTTTAGGGTTTAGGGTTTAGGGTTTTAGGGTTTAGGGTTTAGGGTTTAGGGTTTTAGGGTTTAGGGTTTTAGGGTTTAGGGTTTAGGGATGTAGCGCAACACTGTAATCCCATCATTAGTCATGCCCTGTATGAAAGCCCTCTGAAGTCCCGCAGAAACGTCATATACAACGCTCTTATAATCATTAAGGCGCCTCTAAGGGCTCGGATTGCCCAACAGCGGAGCTGTAGGGAAGACCGGTAGCCCCAGCACCCGGCTGGGTGCGTTCGTGCCACGCCATCTCCAAGCTGGCACAGGCGACGGAGACAGCGAAGGTCCACAGGACGACTCCGTCTCCGACAAGGACTACTTCCTGCACCACGGCAGAGGGATCTTTTGCTGACACACCACGCCTCTGGCCCTTCTCTTAAGTGGAAAGTTGGGCCCCGGTGGCATATGGGCAAAAACAAGAACCGCGGTGACCACAGGCCATGGCGACAGCAAGGCCACGCCGGGTCGGAGTACTATGGCTCTGGTGGAGGTTCCTGGGCTTTGTGGTCGGGAGCGTGGAAGCAGTCTCCCAGAGCGCGTGGACGCGATCAGGGACCAGTGTTTCCGGCGTACGATTCGGACTGGAAGACGTCTGCGGAGGTCATGCTAGTGGATACTTCTGGCGCACAACCGGCCCCACATGGTGGTGGAATCGTCCGCGATGTTCAGCAAGCCATCAATGCCGCCAGAAAGGCGGAGCAGAGGTTACAAAAACTGCAGAAGGAGCAGCTTCAGAGAGGCCAGGCCTGGGATGGTTGGGTCCTGAAGATGAGGGAGCAGTATGCAAAGGAGCTGGAACGCTACAAGTCAGAACAAAACAAGCTGGCTTCGGAGATTGCGGACCTGGAGGCTCAGACTCGTGCTGCCTACCTCCAGGTGCAAGATGCGGCGATGCATCAGCAGGCGGGACCAGCGCCGCCTCCTCCCCTCGAATGGGAGAGTGCCATGGATGTCGAGGACCTCACAGAGGAACAGACTCGTGCGGAGTTGACCAGGATTCTGCAGAAGGTCCCCTCGGTTACTTCCAGATCGCTTATGACGCCCCCGCGTGGAACAGGGGCCGCCCCGCATACTCCTGCTCGAGCAGGTGTCACATCCGAGCCGGCCGCTCACGAGACGAGCGCAGCCGACATCTATCCCTCTCCTTTGAGTGCGAGCCCGGGAATACCCCTTGCTATGTCTATGCCTCCCGGGTTGGCAGATCCGCGTACGTCTTCAGTGCCTACAGAGTCTGCAGGTCAAAGCGCGCTGGCGTGCAAGTTGTCTGGCAAGCGCAAAGCTCTTCGTCAGGCACTTGCACCCTTCGGCGTCGGCAAGCCTCTTCGCGGGCAGGAAGAGGAAGAAGGGGACATGCCCCGGACGCGATAGCCATGGTCCCTCCCGACCCAGGTGGACCTCTCATCGACGACGACCACGAGGAACTGGCAGCGGCTTCGAGATCACCCGGATTTGGCAGGCTGGAATGATTTCGAGGCGTGAATCGGTGCGAGTGACACGTTGTAGGATGGGCCCGGCCGGGGCTATGAGTACACACGGTTGCTTTCGCAGACTATCGGGGCTACGTGCTCTTGAGGCCTTTGGGTGGCCTCATGAGCCGTTTATCCCTGCTGGTCAATGTGGGAGTAGCCTCGTGCGTGCTCATGGCAAAGCTTGGGTCGATCGTTTTCACTTATCTTCTGTAGTATTAGGCAGTTCGTGTGAGCTTTCACCATTTTGCGCGTGCCCTCTGGTGGTTACTCCTTCGGCCATTTCCTCCTCGTCGGCATGTCTTCCTCGGTGGAACAGCCGCGGCATTGGATTTTCGGCTGCTTTCGCCTCCGCCATTGCACGTTGCACTTTCGGCGACGTTCTGCCTTTCTTCTTCATGGGGCCATTGGGTTTTGGTTTTCCCTCTGGCCGCCACCTGACTCTTTGCAACTCGACTTCCTTAGCGCCTAACACGCATATCGGTGGCTCTGGGATGCGGGCAAGGCTTCGAGGTTGCTGGGGTTCTTTTTGTCTGGCTTCTGCGGATGCTCTGACCGGCCCTTCCTTTTGCCCTGTGCAAGGTGCCTTTCTCTGCCTGAGACCTTGTCGCACCGGTTTTGGACGTCGAGCGCGCAAGAAACACATCGGTCGCTCTGGGGTGTTCGCCGACGTTGAGGTGCTTCATAAACTTGCAGATCGCTTGCCACCCGGACGGAGGTGCCGTGGGGGCCTTACTCTGTTGCTGGGCCCTGCGGCTGCGGTGGTAGCCTTCTTTGTGCACATGCTTTTGTTGATTCTTCTGGCTCTCTTGCGGGGCCTCCTGTGGCCGCTTCGGGTTACCCGGAGTCCGTTGGGAAAGATTCTCGTGTTTCCTTCGCACGGGGCCCCCCTACGACTCCTCTTGCCACTTGCTTGCTGTGCGGTATCTCAAGCTGACAGGCAGGTGATAGGCCAACCTGATAGGCGAACAGGCACAGCTGGACATCGCCCAACCTTGCGAGGTCCTACTTCGTGGCACGCCTGGTTCCGCGTATTTGTGCTTGGCTTCAGTTGTTTCCCACGATGTGTGTGGGCCGTTCCCCCCGGCTGGTCCGGTAGTCGCACGCAGGCATACCTTCCAGGTGCAGGTTTCAGCAGTGCTTGTGCAGAAATGCGGGATCCGGGTCCTGACATTGGTCCACCTCTGCATCGTGGGACAGCTTCTGGTATGGGTTATGCCTCTGATGAGCATCCACTGGACGGGTTCCAGTTCGTCGAAGCCCCTCCTCTTCGCGTGCCAGACATCCAACGAGGCCGGCCAGTCCTTGGTGTTACTGTGTATGCGCCGCACTATATTCCTGCCTTCTTTGGTGTTGAGATACCGGAGGGCGCAGTTGTTACTGACCTGCTCCATGCTGTGCGGGGTTCAGGGAATCTTCCCGAAGGTAGGCTGGAGGTCGTCGTGCCTGTTGTGCAGCAAAGGTACAACTGCTCGCTTGCTCTTCTGGCCTTTCCTGCTATCCTGCAGCAGATGAGACCGGTACACCATGCGGTCATGTTTGACTTGTCTAGAGTGGGTGGGCATACCATGCTGCTACGCTCGCTGATGGGTCTACGTTGCAGGATTTGCTGTCGAAAGTGGACACCCTCATGTGGTACAGGCCAGAAGATGTTGAAGTGTGGGTCGGTGACACTGACGTCCCGGCCACGGCAGGACAGCTTGCCTTCGTTGACGGGACGGTGTTCACTGTTTTGTGTCGCGGAAGTCTCCGGAGCGTTAGTTATAGGGCACCCGACATCCTTTCAAACCGCAGTGATTGGGGTCCCCTGGAACACACGCCACGGCCCACCCAGTCTGTTGGGTATGCTACCTTCGTTGAGCGTAAATGGTCGCGTGTTCCATACCCTACGCTCGCAGCGTCTACCTTAGAAGGCTCTGTCTGCCAGGAACTCCAGGTCGACTCTAATACCCGTCTGGTACATACTGACCAACCTTTACGTTTGGATGTGCATGGTGATTTCTGTCACACTGTGTATACCAAGGCCTCTGAGACTCAGCCTTGGCTTGTTGACCTGAGGCCCCTAGGTTTTGGCATGCGGCTACTCCTCCAGGACAATATGCCTGATGATGGGGCGGTGCGTCCTCTTCTGTCATGTCCTGCGCCATCCGACCCCACTACACATAGGCCATGTGAACTCCCACCCGGACTCGCGCTCTGCTGTGCCGTCGGGGAGAGGTCGGACAAGCCGAACCACCTTCCTGTCGTTGAGGTTACTTTGGTGCCACAGGTTCAGGTTGCTCAGGCCTCTTTTGATGCCTCCTCGAACGCTGTCGCCAGCGCCAGCCAGTCGACTGCCACCCGTCTGGACGTGCCTGTGGCCGAACTCCGCAGCCTGTCTCAGGGCACAGATGCAATACGGCAGGCTGTACAGGCACACGTCGACCGAGCAGAAGAGGAACATCTGCCGGTACCATTCCAACGACTTGATGGTTTTGACCTCCCCGCGGACCCGCATGCTGCTGTGCACACAGATGAGTCGGAGGAGAGCTCATACGACCACCATTGGCGGCCTACCTTCGTTGTTCTTGTTCCAGATATGGCACCAGAGACAGTGCAGGTTGCTTTGGATGCGCCATGTAGCGTGGACACGGCCATCCAGGCCTTGGTTGATGCGTCCGACGCCAGTCGCTACCGCTTTTTTCCTCGGTTCCTTGAAGTGGTACCGCAGCCTTGTCAATACTGGGGTACTGTTTTGGCGCTGCCGCCATGGTCGGAAGCCGAGCCCATCTCGGTACTAGACCTTCTGGAAATTGATGGTCGTTTATACGCCACGTACTTACCAAACCCCTTTACCAGGGAACAGGCGCTGCATGCAGCCCGTCTACCTGATGGGGTAGATTACTCCGTCTTTGCGTATGGCCATTTTGTGCCCATGGCGCCCGGTGACAGGATTGATGTGCAGGAAGGGGGAAAAATCTCCTTTCGACGTGCGGGTGCCGCACATCTTGTTCAAGGCCCGTCCCTGCGGACCATGTTGGCCAGTCCGTATAGCTGGGACCCGGAGCCTGTGTTGCCACTTTTACCCGCCAACAACAGGGTTTGTGTGGTGCATGAGTCCGGGTATGATTTGGTGGTTGCTGAGCCCGACTACAGCGAAAGTGACCTGCTGCCCCTCGTCCGGGCCGCCAGTCGGCTGCCGCGAGAGGAAGTTCTGTTTGCTGTCGGAAGACCCGAGACTCAGGATGTCTCGTGCCATGGCGTACCTTGTGAAGCCATCTGCGTTATCTCCCCTGATGACTTTGGATTACAGCCATGTGTTGTCTTGGTCGATCAGAGGCCACTACTGGAAGGGTGGTCGCTTTGGTCGTCTCATGATGGGACCATCTCACACGTGGAAATCACCGGCATGCTTGAGACTTTTGTGCCTAACGGGTGGCAGGACAGGTTCTTGGGGCACCGATCGCGGCTGGTTTTCTGCAGGTCAGGAATGGGGACGTATTAGTTGCCGAATTTGTTCCGAATACGTCTCCGGAAGAGGCTCCGACGCGGCCTCCGTCACCCGGTGACTCCTCAGATGACGATTCAAGTCGTCTGGATGATGCTGATACGCCTTCTAGACGTGACTGCACTAACCCCGGGTCGGGAGCTCTCGGGAACACAGTCGACGCTATCCGTGGAGCGTATAGAGAGCGTAGCAGGTCCCCCAGGCCAGGTGCAAACAGCGATGGACATTCTCGCACTGCATGGAACATCTCAGCCCGACTACTTGAGTCCATTACCTGCGTGTGGCGTCCCGTCATGGTCACTTTGTCGCATTTGACTTGTCGGCTTCTGTCTGAGCCTCGTGGTGCAACTGCCTCTGAGAGGCACCACCTTGACACCCTCCGGGGTCTCACAGGGGCCTTGGGGGGCACCTGGCATCCGACCTTGCCCGTTTTCCTTCAGGAATTGCTGCCGACTGCCGAGGATACAGCTTCCGAAGCAAGCGAGGGATACGGTCCGCGGACTTGCTGTGCGGTGCTGCCCCAGCCCCGGTCAGGTTTTGCAGTCTTTAGTGCTCAGCCACCGTGGAACACGCCAGGCATCGCGGTTTGCTTCGAGCTGGCGGGCGTGGATAATAGGCTATTTGCTACCTTTGTCCCCGATTACGTCACATGCGGTGATATTCAAAAGCTTGCAGAGCTCTCTCCTGACTCTGGGGTACAGATTTGGGCCGGACCGCAATTGGTCCGTCTGCTTGATGGCGAGCCCGCCCATGTCTTTCCTGGTATGTTGCTGTGCTTCACGCCTGCAGGGCGACTCCCGCCTGCTGCCCACACTCTGGGTGTCATGCTCCTCGACCCTGAGCTTTGGAGCGACATCGCTGTCCTTGATGAACCTGTGTCTGACTGTGCCTTTTGTCTGGTCACCGAACGACGCAGTCAGGTCCTCCTGCTTGAGGCGTTTGAAATGCCACAGTATAGACGCCATATCGCGTCCGCGACTGGTGTCGAGCTGTCCAGGCTCCGTTTGTTTGCTGAACAGCCCCAGGCGAGAGATACAGCGGTGAATGGAACCTTTTGCCACTCCGTGATAGCCATTGGCTGTCAGGACTCTCAGCAACAGGCTTGCTGGAGTCTTGCTTTGCTGGATTGCCGACCCATCGAACTTGGCTGGCGGCTGACACAGGTCGCTGGAGGTGTTGTTGACATCGGCCGGGTCGTAGACGAGTATGATCAGAGCGCTCCATTAGGATGGAAGGCGTTTGTCACTGATGTTCCTGCACAGACAGGCAAGGTTGCAGCCTCACCAGGACAGGTTTTTACAGTTACCTATGCCCCAGCTCCGATCGTCGCCTTTCCTCTTTCCAGCAGCTCTGATACAGCCAGTGCTAGCGTCACCCCGCCGGGACTGCCTCTTACCCGGCATCGCGAGGGAGTGCCTGGAACGAGTCGGGAGCTGACATGCAGGGTCGGGGAGACCCGCCCGCGACCGCTGTTCATCCCGACAGCAACGTTGCGTCTATGGATACAGCAATGTGCTTTGCTCTACTTACGCCGGCATACAGCACCGAGGTCGTCACGGTCCGGGCCAGCCTGCCGACGCAATTGGCTGAGGTGGTTGGACAGATACAGCATGCACGGGATGTCGAGCGGCAACACCTTTTTCCCATGTGCAGGCTGCAGGCTGTCCCAGTACAGCCCCCGTTCTCTTTTGCTTGCATCCTCGCCTTGCCGGCATGGCCTTTTGATGGAGTGCCGATTGCGATTGCGTGCTTTGTCCCGCCGTGCAGGGTGTTCGCAGTTGTCGTTCCTGATGTCCTTCGACACCCTGCCATCATGCGTCTGATTGACGCGCTGTGGATGCCCCGGCTCGCGTGTACATCAATGACGTGCCATGGGAGACACCTGTTGATGCTCTTGTGAACTTGCACCCAGGGGACTTGATTACTGTGGTCCCTTTGGCAGATGAGGTCGCCCCTCCTACGCCTCTGGAGTGCTTGCTTGCCACTACGTGGGGGTGGCCTTCGGACCCTGAGGTGCCGCCTCCTGCCGATGCGGCCATTTGGCTTCTTACTGAACAAATGGGCCTCAGGTACACAGAACAACAGCGAGGGCGAGTACCTATGTGGCGTCTGGTCGCAGACACGCTAGGCATCAGACCCTCTTCGTTCGTGTTTATGCCTTCGGATCCGGCGATTAGAGATCATTCGTCGACTGGGCGTCCTTCGCGACATGTTTTTGTTGCGGTCGGCATTACCGACCACACCCTGGTTCCGTACATTTTGGACTTGAGGCCTGTCCTACTTGAGATAGGCTGGGCTGCTGCCCCTAACGGAAGGGTTCTGGTTTCAGACATCTGCACAAGACAGGTTCGTCGGTGTCCCCCAGGTTATGTGGTTCGCCTTACTGGCGGGCATTCTCCTCCTGGGGAAGAGAATCACTTCCGATACGTGAGCCCCGGAAGGGTACTTACCGTGACCTTCGTGCCTCGTTGGATGCACAGCTCGCTGCCTGATGATGGTGGATCTGATGGACCGGGGGACGATGGTGATGGAGATGAGGGTGACGGTGCCGGGCCCGATGACCGTAATCAGCCACACTCCTCTGATTTAATCTTCGATGCGCAACCGGCCACACAGGCACAGGCAGGTGGCACTGGGAATATCGTCGGCACGAATGTTCCGAATACCGGCGCTGCGTGGAGCAGTCGAGTAGCCATGTGGGGTAGGAGGTTTTCACGACATGCCTTTCTTGAAGGCCCCTCCTATCTCACCTCTGTCCTCCTGCTTCTCATGCAAGCGTATGCTAAAGCTAAGCGCTTCCTCGTCATGTGCTTCCCGGCTGGTGTCTGTCGCCCCTTTTCGCACGTCGGAGCTCCTGCTGCGTTCGCCCGGACTGGATCTTATTCGGTCCGATCCATGTCCAGCCTGACTGTTTCCTGCGGCCAGGTGTTGAGTCGGTTTTGTTCCCAGGCGCGCGGAGCCGGACATGTGCCTTCCCTGGCCAGAGGAGCTCGCAGGAGTGGCAGGGGGTCTGCTATGCTTCGTCAAGGGAACGCCGCCTGTCTACTTTTTGCATACTTGTGCGTCGTTCAGGTTGCTGGAGTCCCCATGTGGGAGGAGGTGCTCAAGCACACCGACACTTACTCCTATAGGGAGATTTCTCGAGAAGCTATTAGGGCCATTCCGAGGCCTCTCCAGGTCTACCGACATGATGTCCCCGCACCGGGATATTGCCATACCCGGCTTCAGACATCATTGCAGTGTGTTCCAGCTGCGACTCAGGGAGCAGTCCTGCCACACTTTGAGGTTGCCGAGGTGTGGGCGGATATTGAAGGGGAGGCCTTGATCACACTTCTTGAGGAGTCTGTTGCGCAGCCTGCATCTGAGGCTATGTTCCTTGCCTCTACTCTCCTTGAGACTCTCATCGAACACTTCCAGGTCATGCGAGGGGAAGCTCAAGTTGCGCGTTCCGAGGAGGAGCGCCCGCCTCCAGCCGTACTGGATTTGGCTCGGTGTGTTCCTCTTACAGCATTTCAACGCCAAGTCTTGGATTTGCATGCCGTTGTGCCACAGCCCGGGCCCGCTGTCGCCCCAGGAACTATCGTTGACTGGCTTGACTCTGACCTCAGAGGCCTCAAGAGAGACTCTTTGGTGCCTCGTCACAAGGTTCTCCTCTTCGATTCCATTGTTCCTTGGTCCCTTAGCAGCCCTGAGGCGTGTCCCACTGAAGTGATTGTGTATACCGATGGGTCTGCACGGTCCGGACATGTGGGCAAGCGGACGTCGAGTACTTGCTTGGCTGTGCCTCTGACATATTGGTCCCGGCAGATGACCCGAGGTTTATCGGGGCAGACGAAGATATTCCTTTGGTATGCGAACAGCTTGCCATTGCTTGGGGTTTGATTTGGGTGGTAGAGTTCGGCCCCCTCTATGGGCTCCCGGTTACCATGCGGTACGATTGTATGGCCGCCGGCCAGGGGGCTTTCGGTACTGCGCGTGCTCCGCGTGGAGGTGAGGGCCAGGCAGATGCTTCGATATCTATGTTCCTCTGCCACCTACGTCAACTCGCCGCTTCACGTGTGACACTTTCCCATGACCACATCAAGGCACATGCAGGCCATGTGGCCAATGAGCTCTGTGATGAGCTCGCCAAACGTGCGCGTAGGTGTGAGGCCGCCCGAAGTGGGGATCTTCTCCCCGATTGGCCTAAACAGCTCTTCTTCCATCCCCTGCGTGCATGGGCCTGGGTCCCAGTCGCCGGTACCAAGGACCTGCCATCTCTTTTCTCGTTTGAGGCAGAGGCATCCCGCATGCAGACGTCGGATTTGGTTGGACCTGAACCACCGTCGATGGGAGCGCAGGTCGCCCGCGAAGGCTGTGGTCGGGTTGACTACGGACTGTGCTTTGTGACCTTCAATGTGCTGACCTTGCTTGATCCGCGTCCGGGTACTGTGATCGCCCCTGGGACCGTTCATCCTGGCCTCCGTGTGGTTGCTAAACGTGAAGTCATGAAGCGCCAATTCCAGGCCCTAGGAGCTAGCTTTGTCGGCCTGCAAGAGACACGTCTCCGCGAGGCCGCGACCTTGCCCGATGCACAGTACTATATGTTTCACGCTCCGGCAGATGAAAATGGCCACCACGGAGTGGCCCTGTGGGTCAGCAAGGATCTTCCTTACGCCCACTGTTTGGGCAAGCCTCTTTTCTTCCAGTCATCACACTTCACTGTGACTGTATGTGAGTCGAGGCTTCTGATAGTGCAAGTGTGCGCACCTCAACTGTCTTTGACGGTGGTTGTTGCTCATGCGCCCTCGGAGGTCAATGTGGCCTCGGGCGCGGCTGTCTCCTTTTGGCAACAGTGCAAGCGTGCCTTACGGCGCCGACCTGCGAGGTCTGAGGTTGTCCTGCTTGTCGATGCTAACTCAAGGGTTGGAAGCTTAACATCTCATTCAGTCGGGGACTTTGACGCGGACGAAGAGTCACTTACAGGGCAGGCTTTGCATCACTTTGTTGTGGACGAACAATTGTGGCTTCCCTCCACGTTCGCGGGGTGCCATAGCGGTCCCAGTCCTACCTGGATTTCTCCTGCCGGCCAGCCCTTTCGCATTGATTTCGGGGGGGTGCCGCTTGCGTGGCCCATGTCCGCGGTTACCACGTGGGTTTGGACGGACTTCGAATCATTGCAAGTCCGCGATGATCACTTTCCGGTTGTGATGAAGGTCCGCTTTCGCCTGGAGACGGCGTCGGCGGGTCACACTGTCTACCGCCGGCAAGCGGTGCGGCCTCCTCGCCTGGGGTTTACAGCTGAGTATGTTGAGGGGCTAGCTTCGGTTACTTGTTGTGCCGATACCGCGTGGGATGTCAAGGTCGATGCACATTTCCAACATGTGACCAGTGCATGGAATCGGCTTGGTCGCTCCTTGGGGTCCAGTTCTGATTCTGTCCCCGTGCAGTCGTACTTGTCGGAGGCCACGCTGCGTTTAGTCTCTTGGCGCAAGGCCTGGCGCCGGAGACTACGAGATCTCAAAGATCCACAGAGACAACAGCGACTGGCTGCATTCTTTGGTGCGTGGAGCCTTGCCGGCCGTCTGGCCCGTGTCGACTTCGCGACACCAGCGTCCCCGTGGGGTTGGGCGCGTGAAGTCGACCTCGAAATTGCCCAGGCTGCCATGCTTGTGTTCCGGCTAGGTCGAGTGATTAAGGGGGCTTCCCGGGCTGACCGCGTCGCCTATCTTGGACAACTTGTGGAAGCCGTGTCTTTGGCGGACCTCAAGGATCCCAAGGCCCTTTTCCATCGTGTGCGAAAGGCTTTTCCACAGGCTAGGCCCTCGAGACGACCTCTCCACTGTCCCCTTCCTGCGGTAATTGCTCAGGACGGAGAACTGGCAGCAAGCACTGCGGATCGTTTCGAACAATGGCGATCTCACTTCGCCGAACAGGAAGCTGGAGACAAGGTGGATGGGCCTGGCTACCTGGAGGTTCTACGCCGGCAGCGAGTTGCAACTCTTGCGGCTGTTGAACAGACGTTGTGTGAGCTTCCATTTGGCAAGGCTGCTGGATATGATGGGCTTACTGGTGAGTTGCTCCGCGTCCATGTGCCGACGTCAGCCCGCTTGCTCGTGCCGGTGTATGCCAAGGCGGCTATTGGGTTGTACGAGCCTATAGAATTTAGGGGCGGAGCCCTGGTTCCATTGGCCAAGCGTGCCGCAGCCTCTCTGACTTGTGATAAGTTCAGAAGCATTTTGGTCTCTAGCATTCCGGGCAAAGTGTACCACAGACAGCTGCGTACCATGCTGGTGCCTGCGCTACAGACTGTCAGAGCGGACACACAGGCTGGGCCTGTTCCGGGTGTGTCTACCGAAGCCATCTCCATGGTGGCAAGAACTTTCCGCGATATCATGTCCGGTCGCAGGGTCGCCTGGGCTCTTACCTTCTTTGATGTACGGGCCGCCTACTACAGGGTCGTACGACAGGCTCTGCTCACCGTGGGCGATACCGAGACGGCCTTGCGACGGCTCATGCATGACCTTGGGGTGCCGCACGACGCCATGCAGGAGCTCTTCGATAAGCTCACTATGATTGGTGCCGTTTCGGAGAGTGGTACCCCGGAACATCTGCAACGTATCCTCTCTGATGTGCTGCAAGGTACCTGGTTCCGACTTGACCTAGGGTCTACACTCACCCTCACGCATAGAGGTGTACGGCCAGGGGACAGTCTTGCGGATGTCTTGTTCGCATTTACGTTCAGTGCCTATCTCAGGGCAACCGAAGCTGCTACGGTTGCCGCTGGGCTTCACTCGGAGATGCCTGATTGCCGTTCCTCCCCCTACTGGGCTGACCACGCCCCGCCAGCTGCATTAGGGTGTGGGTCCTGGGCGGACGACTTCGTCCAAATGACCTCCCAGACATGCCTCCGGTCCCTTGCACAGAGGGTCACTCGGATCGTAAACATCTATGTCGAGCAGGCTGAGTCGGTGGGCATGCAACTCACTTTTGCTCCGGACAAGACGGCCACCATGATTTCCCACGCTGAGCTTCAGGACCCGCCTATTCCAAGGGATTCTGATGGTCGCTTTCTTATGGTGCACAGCTCAATTACCGGTGTTGCGTATCGCCTGCCTGTCGTGGATGCATACAAACACCTTGGCGGCATCGCCACCACTACGGGGACCCCGGTGCCGGAAATAGGTTATAGGCACTCATTGGCGATGCTGGCCATCCGACCTCTACGGTCACGCCTCTATTCCGCCTATGGCATCCCTTTGCAAATTCGGCGCCACTTGTTGCGTTCCCTGGCTATGTCGCGCTATGTGTTCGGCAGCGCCGCGTTGTCCTTACGCACTGCTCTCCATCGACGCCTGTGGTCCAAGCATTATGTCGCACTGTGGCGACATTTGTGGCGTAGAGGCAAAGGCGAGCATTTCAAGCACTGCTTCGAGGTGTTGAGCGCTGCACAGGCCCCCACTCCTCCACTTGCGCTTGCGCTGGCACGTGCAGTCTTGCTCAGACAAGTTACGGTGAGTGGGCCGGCTACATTGGCTACATTGGTGAGGTTGCTCCAGGTGCATTGGCAGGAGGCCCCTAAGACTGCCTGGCTCGGAGCGGTCCGTGAGGACATTGTCCATGTTTCCCAGTACGTCCCTGCTGCAAAGGTGCTGTTGGGCACTTCGGACCCTGTGCGGGCTCTCATTGAGGCCATTCAGGACGATGCAAGCTGGTGGGTGAGGCAGCTCAAAAGTGCATGCAGAAAGTCCATCGCTGAGATGGAGGAGTGGTGCAAGAGTCGTGCCTCCTGCCGGCCGATTGCTGGGCCAACTGTTGTAGTTGACACGGACGAGCCCGAAGAGGATGTGCCTGTTCACTCCTGCCCGTGGTGCCCGGCGGTGTTTCCCCGGAGGAAACATCTGGGCGCCCATATGGCTCGTACGCATTCAGTCTTTTCTCCTGTTCGGCATATTGTCTACACGCCAGTATGTGTGCACTGTCTGCGTTCCTTTCGGACGATCGCCAGGCATCAATCACACCTCAAACACAACGATGATTGTCTGTTGCAGACGTGTATGAGGGTCCCGCATATGCCGATTTCGGAGGTCAGGCAGGTTGAAGGAGAAGAGGTTAGGCAGGCCAAAAGTCTTCGCAGAGGCGCCTGGGACGCCTTCTCTGCCTCCCTTCCTACGCTCCAGTGCTTCGGTCCGAAATCCATCACCACTGAAGCTCGAGTGGAGCTCCTCGGAGAAGAAATGGACTTAGGCCTCCTCTCGCGCCTCTTCCGTCCTGGTCCCACCTTTTTGGCTTGGGTCTTGTCCTTTATCCAAGGCCGTACCAAGGAGGGACCCAGGGGATATGCAGCGTCCTTCTGGGATGTAAGACCCAAGCTTCACCCGTTTCACCAGAATTCATAGTGCTCGCGACGCGCTGCTTGACGGCTCTGAAGTCTCCAGAAGAAGAAGGCGCCTCTATATTAGGTTAGACAAGTGGTGTGAGGTTGCATCCTCTCTTCCGCCGGCTTCCTCCCAGACATCCTAAACGCCGAAGCCCTCAAGACCTCGAACGCCCCTAGACTCGCACAACTTGCCTACCACACTGAACCCAAACCGTAAACCTAAACCTAGGCCCTAAAGCCTAGCCTAAACCCTAAGCCCTAACCCGAAAGCCTAGAACCCCTTGTAGAAACCCGACAGCCGAGCTTGGACCCGGAAGCCTTTTCAGGGGTTAGGGTTTAGGGTTTAGGGTTTAGGGTTTAGGGTTTAGGGTTTTCAGTGGGTTAGGGCCGCTTGGGGCTCCTTCCAAGCTGACAGAATGACACCTTCATCCTATAAAGGAGCCCTTAAAGGAACGCTTTTCAGAGCCCTTCAAGGAGCCTTTAAAGGAACCCTCATTGAGGTCGAAATAACTGTTAATAATATCCCCTTATAGTCCCTCATAGACTTATCGCATAGCTTGACCCAAACCCTGTCCCAATTAGTAGGGCGTTTCTGCTAACTGGGCTGGCTGCCGGGGGGGTTTAGACTTTAGCGCTTTACGTAGGGTTCAGGGTTGCGGCGGGTTAGGATACCCTAAACTTAAATTAGCCCTGGCCCCCTAACCCTAGTAGAACCTACCGCCCACGCACTGTCTCAGCCCGACGGCCCAGCAGAAGCTTGCTGCATATGAGGAGGTCAGTCGAAGCTTCATCCGCCATATAGGGGCCATAGCGATTAGAATAGAAGTCTTCCGGTACATTATGTGTAGGACTCGTATTGGTGGCACTTCGGCCAGCAGCCCAACCAGAGATCCGTGGACTTGACAGTGTTTCATGTTTGTTCCTCACCGCCCCGAGCCTCGACCCTAAGCCTCTTGGGAGTTTCAGAAAATTAGGGTACCTTGTTTTGGGGTCCTTATAATAGGGATCCTATTAATTAGGGTACTATATTAGGGTCCCCTATTTTCGGAACCCCCCTCTTCGACGATGGCCGAAAGCATCACATGGGCCTAATGTCTGGCCCTCTTCGTCGATGCAAGGTGCGCGGGAGAGGAGGGCAGGCTTGTTTCGGAGGATGTGACTTCGGATTTCGCTTCGTTCTTGCGTTTTCTGCGTAGGTCTGTCTTTGGGGTTTCGGTGGTCGGACTTGTCTGGATGGGTTCAGGTTGGCCAGGCGGCTCGGATGATGCCAGATAAACCCTAAACCCTAAACCCTAAACCCCAAAATAGTGATGACTGTCGCCCGAGGATCCGAACACCTAGGCCGAATAGCCAAAAACCCTTAAAACCCTTTTGTCCCGTGGAAGCCCTTAAGCTCCTAACCCCGTAAACCCTTGAAACAACCGAACCTCTAAACCATTAAAAGCCCTTAAAGCCCTCAATCTTATACTAGGCGCCTCCGGCCCCAACTCACCCTAAACCCTAAAAACCCACAGTGGGAGGCCATAGAAAGTCGGCAGAGGAAGACCAAGAGGAGGACCTGCAAGCCTTTTTGGTCGCATGGGTTCCTGTAAGGGCTCCTTTAAGGGTTACTTCAAGGGCTCCTTTAAGAGATCCTTTAAGGGCTCCTTTAAGGGTTCCTTCAAGGACTCCTTTAAGGGATCCCTTTAAGGAATCCTTTAAGGGTTCATTGAAGGATCTCTGTAAGGGTTCCTTTCACGGCTTACGGAGTCCTTTGCAGGGCTCTTTTAAGGGCTTCTACAACTGTTCCCGCAAGGGTAGCTCGAAGGACTTTTAAAGGGGCGGTTGCGGTGACGGGTTTAGTTACCAGTTCAGGATTCGGACGGTTTGGGATTTCAAGGTTTCAAGTTTCAGGCTTCTGGTGTTCGTTTTGCTTAGGATTTATTTGAATGTAGGGTATAGGGTGAATTAAGAGGTTGCTTGAGCGGTGAACTTTTAGAGTTCTGCCGTTAGTCACTGCTTTTGCTCATTCTGAATCCACGCATTGGTAGATTTCGTGGTTAAAGGGGGTTTAGTGTTCTCCCGAAGGCTTTCGGATGGTTTGCACACCGTGATTCTAGAGCATGCGCGAATCCTGCTGAGGGTTCAAGGAAACCATGCCCACACGGGAGTTTGTCAACTGTCTTCACGAGAGAGAGAGAGAGAGAGTGAGAGATCCTGATGCCGCTACACTGCTAGCTTAGGGTTCAAGGTGTTGAATACCTTAACCTACCAAAACCTACTTTTTTGTAGGGTCCCTATAAATTCCATATTAGGGTGTATAATAGGAACCTACAAAAAAGTGGGTTATGGTAGGTTAAGGTAGGGCTTAAGGCTTAAGGAGTTGGTATTTGTCCTTGTGCTGTTCGCAGATTTTTTTAGCGGCATCCGCCATCAGGTGAGAATCACAAGAGCAACATTAAACACAACAGCAAGCGCAGGAGTAGGAAGATTAACCCTGAACCCTAAAACCCTAAAGCCCTAAAACCCTAAACCCTAAACCCTAAACCCTAAACCCTAAACCCTAAACCCTAAACCCTAAGCCCTAAACCCTAAACCCTAAACCCTACAGAAGAGACGTCGACCCGCGGACTCTATCTTAAGCTCGAAACCCTAAGCCCTGAAACGTCACAAGATCGGGACTTATCCAACCCAAAACCCCTAAACCCTAAACCCTAAACCGTAAACCCTAAACCCTAAACCCTAAACCCTAAACCCTAAACCCTAAACCCTAAACCCTAAACCCTTCAAAGAGCCCGCGGAGGACCTGTGGCCTTGCCGAACCTTCAAGGCTTCTCGGAAGTTTTCTGGGGGGGTGGAGGGTTCAAGTTTCGTGTTTTTGTGGTGTCGGGTTTCGGATGTAGGGTTTCGGATTTAGGGTTTAGGGTTTAGAGTTGAGGGTTTAGGGTTTCGGATGTGGGGTTTAGCATTTGGGGTTTAACTAGGGGTTTGGGGTTTGAGGGGTAGGAGGGGTGCATTTTGCTTTCGGGGCTCATTCTGAGGGGTCTGGCCTAAACCCTAAACCCTAAACCCTAAACCCTAAACCCAAACCTGGCTCTGGCAGCATCTTCTTGTCTGCAAGCTCTCCTGGCGCGATATGTTTTTTCGTTTGCTGTTGGTTCTGCTGCCGAGCTTGCCCAACCCCAAGCTCAAATCCAAACGCTTCAAAACAGGGCTTTGGGGCATAAAGCAGTATTCCTTAAAGTACAGAACTCTCAGGAGTAACATTGGAAATTGCGCAGGCTTCTGTAAAAAAGTTGGGAAAGCCCGAGGAAACCCCACACCCCCAAAGCCCTAAAACCCTTCAACCCGAAACCCTCAGCCCCAAACCCTAAACCCCAAACCCTACCTTAAATTGGCCCTAAATCCTTAACCCTTCAACCCGAAGCCCTAAACCCTGAACCCAAAACGCTTCAACCCGAAACTCAAAAAGTGCTCCTAAATAAATAAACAAATGCATAAATAAATATAAGTAAAAATAAATAGACAAATAAATCAATAGATAACTAAATAAATAAGTGTATATATATATGTATATATACATATATATAACTTTATTATTACTATTTTTATTGTTAATAATACTAATTATTAATCTTTTCGCCCCTGCCAAGCCGGGAGAGGCGCGGGAGTGGGGGCATGCCCTGCAGCTGAACGACGGCTCCCACGAGGCCTTCGGGGCTTTGCTGTGGGGTTCTTCAGTGGGGGGCTTTAGGGTTTAGGGTTTAGGGTTTAGGCTTTAGGGTGTAGGGTTTAGGGTTTAGGGTTGAGGGTTTAGGGTTTAGGCTTTAGGGTGTAGGGTTGCTAACTGGGACTTAGTAGCAAGGGTCGTTTCTAGAGTAACTATGCTTCTATTCACATATAAACCCCACTTTAACCCTAGTTACAAGTCAACCCAGGTACGTTTCTGATTTACGGTATTGATGAGGAGTTTTCGTGATGATGTGCGTGCGGCTACCAAATCAACGTGCTCATGCGGGTATCCCCTTTCTGATGCCATTTTGGGGCGACTGTTAGGGTGTGTCTCCTTGTGGCCCATGGAGTGCAAGACACTCGAGCCCCCGATCGATCCATGCCAGCCTAGCTATATCATTTCGGATAAGCAATCTCCTCTTCGGTAATTAGTTTCTATTTAGGTCTTGCATGTTTGCTTCTCATTCTCCATACCGTCCACTCCACAATGGCTGGTGCTGGCGGTTCCCGGATGGGAACTTGCGCGTTCGAAACACTTTAAACCCTAAGCCTTCGGATGTTTGTGGAGTTTAGGGTTTTGGGTTTAGATGAACACGGCCCCATGTCATTCGTGACCCAGACCCCTAGGGGTATAGGGTTTAAGGGATATCGTAACCCCTTTTAGGGCGGTTTAGGGTTTAGGGTCACCCTTACACTGGTAGAACCCTAACAGGAATGCTTCTTCCGAGTTTAGGGTCGGAGTCTGTTATGTTTCCCGGAGGTTTGTGGCTTGAGACCTTTTTGGCTTGTCCCTGGCCAGAAGAAAAAGGAGCATACATTCTAAACAACTACAGTCATAACTTAAACCCATAGAATCCAGGAGATTCGTGTTGGGTCCTTTCACCCCAAACTCGCCGATGGAGCACAGCCGCTGAGATTTTACATGCACGTCTCAAACCCTAAGCCCCCAAGCCGGCAAAGGCCTGAACCCCAGACCCTCACTTCCCAATCTTTAAAACCCTAAAGGCCCAAGATTAAATACCCGCTTTAGGCCCAACACCCAAGACAAACCCAAAACAAACCCTTAAAACCTAAACCCCTAAATGCCTAAATCTTCAACCCTAAACCCTAAACCCTTAAACCCCCTAAGCCCTAAACCCCGAAACCCCAAACCCCCTAAGCCCCGAAACCCTAAGCCCCTACTTGCCCTAAACCCTAAAGGCCCTAACTAAAGGCCCTAAGCCTGAAGAGAGTCCATGCCCAGGTGGGCGTGAAGAAGCTCATCAAAACTTTGAAGGCTCCTCCGTGTTTACTTAAAGGATCAGGGATTAGGGTTTAGGGTTTAGGGTTTAGGGTTTAGGGTTTAGGGTTTAGGGTTTAGGGTTTATCAGGCGCCTAGGAATAGGAAGCTTGAAAGGTTTCTGAAAGCGTTCCCTAAAAGGGATCCATAAGGGATCTACAGGGGATCTATGAGGGATCTATAGGGGTTTATGAGTGTTAAAGGATCAGGGGCCGAATAGCTAGGGTTATTTCCAGGGTAGCTGTACCTATCAGCAATTGCAACCCCAATTCAGGCACCTAGTCCCATGATCCTCGTTGAGGTTGCTGAAGGTGGTGGGGTTGCGACTGCCCATGACAATTATAGAGCCTAAACAATGGTAACATGTAATATACTTAAATTTTCTTTGCAACGGCTCTGTAAAATCCCCGATCCGCAGCCCCAGCCCCGAACAGAGGCATGGGTCACGGTGAAACGAGTCAGAACGCTAAACCCTAAAAGTGGAGACTTCCGGGGTTGTCTTGGGCCCTCGCTACCTTACTTAAAGGATCATGGGACTTAGTAAGTAGGGTTATAATTAGGGTAAGTATACTTATAACCCCAATTAAGGGACTTATAACCTTACTTACTAAGTCCCATGTGAACCGAGAGCTCCCTTCTTGGGAGGATGGGCGGACGCTGACGGAGCAGCCGCTGAGGCATCCAGTTCATCAGTTGTCGTGGAGGGTGAGAGTATATATATATATATATAATTATATATATATATATACACACACACACACAGAATACCAATATGAATATGAATCCGAATTTTTAATAGTACAATTGTTACTATTGCTATTACCATTACTATTGCTATCATTACGATTAATTACCATTGCTATTACTATTACTATTTCTTTTCCTTTTACTTTCACTGTTACTCTTATTATTATTACTACTATCACTATGAATAGGTTAATATCAAAGGTATATATATATATATATACAAATAGATATACTTTCTACAGGGTTGAGTTCTTCCCGTAGAGTCGCAGGTTTGGAGGTTTACCTCTGCTTGAGATTTTGCTTCAGTTAGCTTTCGCCATGGGGATAGAATCCTTTACCAGGGAAGACGAAGGGTATGCAATTCTCATATTGGGTTGAATTTACAGCTAAGCGCAATTGCGCGGATCTGTTGAAACACACTGCAAGGAACCCACATGAAGTTTACCTGAAAATGTCCCGGGAGGTCCGCAAAGCGAATCCTCAGAAGGCGCCAAAGTGCGTGCGAAGAAGTCGTGCGCGCACAAGCCCTTAGCAAAAAGACCCACACTCTAAACACCAAATCCTTAATTCGTTAGCCCCAAAACCCGCCCTGAAACGGTACATGTGCTGTAGTCTTGTTTACGAGCTCGGTACTGCAACGGGCTTGGTTTGGAAAAGCCGTCGCACACGGCGAACCCTCAAACAGCACAACCGAGGTCGCTGTACACGTGTCACTTGAGTGTCAGGCTTTGCCTCAGGACACTTGCAGCTGTATCACGGCGGCTCTTGCAAGACTTGCCATTTTGGTTGTGCATGGGCAGCCTTCTGGTGTGCTCGCGGCGCTGCTGGGCTGTGCGGTTGACACATGTCGTGATTGCCCTGATTTCGCGTTTGATGTAGACGAAACCTGCCGCTGTTGCGCGTGCATTTGGCCCCCACGCTGGCCTGCTTGCAGATTGTTCTGGGTTTTGTGCATATGGGAACTGGTTACCCTGTGTGTTCGCGGGGTGCGGAACGTTGGGGCGGACGCCCCGTCCCAAACTCAGCAGTTCGCGCCCAAAGATTTTGGGCCAGCATCGTGCTTGCAACAGGTGTCACTGAGACTGGCGTGTGACAGGTATGCTGGACCCAGGGACTCCATTTCATTAAAGAATATACCTGAACTTATAGTAGGATCCCTAGTATGATTTAAGGCATATTCCTTAATCAAGGGATCTTGGAGTCTCTGGGGAGACTTGTGTGACAGTCGCGCTTTGGTTTGGGGTCCAGGCTGGGCTCATAGCATGGGCGTCCTGTAGCGGCCTTGACATGGGTGGTTGTGAAAATTATGGTCCCTTTTTGGGTCCTTATTATAATACGGCACCTATTATTTAGGGTACCCCAAAAGGGACCCTAATTTTGACAACTACCCACATGAACATCTGTGGGCCGGAGTGAGACGACCCGCCCCATCGACTTGCATGAACTAGGGTTTAGGGTTTAGGGTTTAGGGTTTAGGGTTTAGGGCCTAAACCCTGAAAACCCTGAAAGCCCTGTATGTACCCTAAACCCTCAACCCTAAACCCTGAAGGGTTTAGGGGGCCCCAAAAATTAGAAGAGGGTTTTTGGGGTTCCTTTTTAAAGGGTTCCTTAGATAAGGCGTACTATAAGGGTTGGCGGTATAGGGGCCCGAATATTGATAGAATAGGGTTTTGGGGGTTCCTTTCTAAAGGGTTCCTTACAGGGGTTCTATAAGGGCTACTCTAAGGGTTGGGGGTATAGGGGCCCTAAGAATTAGAAGAGGGTTGTGGGGGTTCCTTCAACAAGTTCCTTAAAGATTTCTATAAGGGCTACTATACTGTAAGGGTTGGGGGTATAGGGGCCCTAAGAATTAGAATAGGGTTTGGGGACCCATTGTACTATAATTATACTAAGGAACCGCCAAGATAGTGTAGGTAACTATTTAGGCCCCTACATTCAAGGATTTCAGAAGTTTCCTGAGGTTTCGAAGACCAAGACATACACTCAACCCTAAACCCTAAACCCTAAACCCTAAACCCTAAACCCTAAACCCTAAACCCTAAACCCTAAACCCTAAACCCTAAACCCCTAAACCCTAAACCCTAAACTGAACTTGGAGCTCCAAAGCGTTGAGCTTTCAGCCGACAGCGTGGGGTTCCGGTTTTAGGCTCCAGAGTTTAGTTTTAGGGTTTAGGGTTTAGGGTTTAGGGTTTAGGGTTTAGGGTTTAGTTTACTGAGGGTTTAGCGGTCTTGGGCTTTAGAGCTTAGATTGGACTGTAAGGGTTTGGGGCTGAGGCTTGAGGGTGCAATCATAATTCCAGACTTAGAAGCGAAAGAAGGAATCTTCCGAACCTGACGTCTTTGGGAGCCTCCGGAGGGTGCTGGCAGTCGTTGGGTGGTTCAGGGTTTTGAGAATCAAAGGTCCATGTGAGGCCTGACAGTTCCCGAGTTTGGAGTTTGGCAGCGAAAATTAAGTTCAAAATCGTACCATCTAAGTTATCGCCCAAAACTTTCACACCGCAATTTCTGAAACCCAATATGGAAGCCCTCAGCAAGATCATACAACCCGGAACAAGTGCGACATTCTCCTAAACCTTTAACGCACCCGAGGCTCCAAAATCCATAAATCAGGAGATGACTGTTAAAACCCATACGAAGAAATCCTAAAGGACATGAGTATTCGTGAAGATAAGGGAAAAGTATCTTTTGGTTTTAGAAATATTGCCACGTAGTTACGGGGGTAATGGAGTGTCCGTTTGGCTGGTAGGCTGACGGCGCTCCAAGCGCTGTCTCCTGCCGCCCTGGTGGGCCATCGAGGGGCACTAGCGGCGCAGGCGGGCTCCAGACGGGCTTGACAATTTTGTGGAGAGCTAAGCCCTAAACCTTAAACCGAAACCTTAACCCCTAAGCCCTTTTCCCTAGGCCTTGGTGTTCTTTAGGTTTTTCGAGGCATGTAATGCATCTGCGATTGTGGTGACATCTTGTCATTCCCCAAGCCTGCAGCCTTGAACCGGAAACCCAACGCCGAGACAGCGATATTTGGTGTATAGTTACATATGAAAAAATATGAATAAATACATACAAGTAAATAGAGAAATCATAACCAAGTATATATATATATATATATATATATTTTATCTTTGTATATAAGGTCTTCATAGGTAGACATGTACAGACATGCAACAAATCATGCATATGAACAGATGTGTATGTATAAACACATGTAAACACGTATGTCTTTTTCGGGGGGGATGCTGGAGTCTAGGACATTTTCAGGTGGGTAGTTACCGTTATAGGAGCCTTCTAGAAGGTCTATATACGCTATAGAAGCCTTATAGAAGCCCTAGAAACCCTAAACTCCCCACCTGTAGTTTCCTTTAGTTGCGATGTTTTGTGAGGCAGCCGCCGTGCTGGACCGTAACAAGGCCGCCTTCCGCCTTCTTTGGGGTCAGGGGAATGTAGATGAACGTTGCACGGCTTAAGGTTTAGGGTTTAGGGTTTAGGGTTTAGGGACCCTAAACCCCAAACCCTAGTTTCCCAAATCCTAGTATCGAGTTCCCTTTGGAAAGCCCCAGGCTCTTAAAACGCTGCCGAAAGAAGGCGTGCAGGGTATCTTGTCATGATTCCGGCAACATTGATTATTACTAGTAGTCTTAGTTGAGGAAACCTTAACCTGGGCTGCGGGTTTAGGGTTTGGGCTGAATTCCAACTCGTTTTTAATGTTTGAGGTTTGCGAAGCTTAGTTACCAGCTGGCAGTAACTCCCTTCAAATTCCATACACCCAATGCCCGTGAACCGGGCGCAGATCCTTCGCCCGGAGTCCGCAATATAGAGGCCTGAATAGTTAGTAGATAGATTAAACTCGTCCTCCTGCATACATGAGTGGGTTGGCTCTTACAACGACAATCGTTCGTTGGAGGGTCCTCGACAGGCTACCGTCCAGTTTTGGCAGAGGCGCCCGTCTCACCCTTTCACGAATTTGCAGCACGAATTTTGGGACGTGCCGTAGCGACGGCACTGTTGCCCGCACCAGAACCAGAACCAGATAAATTTAACACTACCACTGTTTAGTCCCTACTACAACTACCTATAGTCTCCATTGTAGTTCCTTTTTTGTTGAACCGTTTATACAGTAAGGATGTTTTAAGGTATCCACAAAAAAGGAACTACAATGGAGACTACAGGAACAGTTTTCATCTTGACGGCACCCTAAACCCTAAACCCATTGCAGCCAGGCCGTTCGTGAGTGCGCGCTGGACGCCCTGTGGGATGCGGCGGGCCAGCAGCGGCCCGAAGAAGGTGGGACGGTTGGGGTTTAGGGGTTTAGGGGTTTCGGGGTTTAGGGTTTAAGGGGTTTAGGGTTCAGGGTTTAGGGTTTAGGGTTTAGGGTTTAGGGGTTTAGGGTTTGGGGTTTAGGGTTCAGGGTTCAGGGGATTAGGGGTTTAGGGCTTTAGGGTTTGGGGGTTTAGGGGTTTAGGGTTTAGGGTTTAGGGGTTTAGGTGATGGTTGGATGCAGCCAATATAGTACCGCACCCCAAAACGAACCCCGAAAGGGACCCTAACTAATTTAGAGAGCTGCCCAGATATAGAAAGAAGCCTGAGTATTTTGCCAATATTCGTCCTGAGGGTTCCCTTTCAGGGAATGGAAACCCTAAACCCTAAACCCTAAACCCTAATATGCCCGCAGCTTCCATGAAATTATCATTGTTGAGGCCCCCGATGTTAGTTTTTTGGGGGACGCTTTTGGTTTAGGGTTTAGGGTTTTAGGGTTTAGGGTTTAGGGTTTAGGGACGTTTTGGGGTTTAGGCTTCGCCAGGTGTTCCACATAAGGATGCCTGTTGGGGTACTTCTCACGAATCTGGAAACCTGAATAGAACCCCTAGCTTCTACAGCCTTCCCAAAATAGTATGTAGGTTAGCAGGCCCTAGTAGCCGTTATCTCTAAAACCTTAAACCCTAAAAATCTAGACCCTGAACCCTAAAACCCTAAACCCTAAACCCTAAACCCTAAACCCTAAACCCTAAACCCTAAAACCCTAAACACTAAGCCCGTAGCCATAGCCCAAATAAGAACCACGGGTTTCAAGATCCATCAGGATACAAGGCCCAGAGGCCCTTTGATGCGAACTGACCGCGAACTGTAGCCTACCTAACCCCTTCAACCCTAAAATCCCTAAGCCCTAAACCCTAA